AAAAAAAAAAAAAAAAAAGATGATATTGAAATCAAATTACAATCGAATAAAGATCGGGTAAATCAGCTAAAAACGATTAAATCGAATAAAAACGTATTGAATTAAATCCAATTCAAATCGTAATAAAATCACTGAAATTCGAATTAACAAGCAATTGAAATCTAATTCCAGTCCAAGTAAGCCTATCTAAAATCAAGTGTCAATCGTAATCAAACCGAGAAAAACCTAAGTAAAGTCTAGACGAATTCTAATTAGTTTTCAACCTGGTTAAAATCAATTGAAATCTTCTTAAAATCTCATTAGAATCTAATTGGATTCTAATTCACTGCGATTGAAAATCGCTGTAAACCCAACTACTTTCGCATTCAGGTTTGTAGTGACTCCTGGATAGAGATCGTTCAAAAACATCAAAATCTAGGAAATGAAGGAGGTCCTTAAGAGTCGTGCCAGGGACCCNNAGCCATAATTCACTTTAGTCTTGGCCCTTTTGAACATAGTCTTGGGGCAGATATCAGGATTTGGAATTCTGGGGAACCGGTATTTTACATCGGGCGGGGGAGGGTTATAGTAGGGGCAAGGGATTACTCACATTGAAAGTGGTCTTGGTACTGATACTGATATCAGAATTGGAAGGAATGCTACGCAGTAGTAGTAGTAGTAGTAGTAGTAGTAATAGTAGTAGTAGTAGTAGTAGCAGCAGCGGTAGCAGCAGTAGTACTAGTAGTAACATCAATTAGTGCTAAGATTGTGTCGCACACCCGTCCTAGGCGAAAATGCGAACATGTAGCGTAGCTTCGTGCTGAAACACGATCTGTTTCCCAGGCTGTTGTCTTTTCACAGAGTAGCGGGGGAGGGGGCACAGCACAGTGTTGTGTGCTGAGTCTTGATTGATGAGACAGGCCAGGCCCCCTTTTTTTTCATGAAGCGAACGTGTAGTTTCTTGCTGAACCTGGATAGCACATGCCACTGACATGCTTATGATATGGTACGCCAGGCATTGCGTGCATTGAAAGACACTGAGGGGTTGGAAGTGGGAGACCTGAACCATCATAAGTTGATTGTGACTGGTGGTGTGGTGCTCGTGGGTACCGGTGGGTGGAGGCTCAGGTTCCCATGATCCGTGAGTCAAAAAAGCTGGCTGCAGAAAAAACGTAGTACTAAGACGCACGCTAATACGCATACCAATACGAACTTTGAAGCTCATCATGCTACAGTGTACTGCTGCTACTACTACTACTACTACTACTGATAATAATACCAATACTACGACTACTCCTACTACTACTACTACTACTCCTACTACTACTACTACTACTCCTACTACTACTACTACTACTACTACTCCTACTCCTACTCCTACTCCTATTACTACTACTACTACGACGACGACGACTACTACTACCACTACTGCTACCACCGCTATGACCACAACCACGCCCACGACCACGACGACCACCACCACGAAGATGACCATCACCGCTGCCACCATCACCACCACCACGAGAGCAAAAACAGCTACCAAGACCAACGCTACACTAGCTCACTAGCACGGGTACCTACAGTCAGACCAATACAATTAACAAATCAGTACTACCACTCACCAATACTCCTAGTTGTACTAATGCTAATGCCACTGCTACCTCTCACGCTAATGATGATGAAG